CAGGATTGGTTGCATATGATGAACCCAGACTTAGAATTGCTGCAGACAGATTGGGCAGTGAGTAGTGGCTGTAGTCAAGTTAGCCTTGTTGAATGGAAGTCCATCTTGCTGAGTCCTTGTATAACCTCTATCCCCGCTACCATGGTGACTTTGTGCATGAACCCACTGGGTAATGGCAGGACTGGGTAGGGGAAAAATCATGTCACATTTCTGATTGGGTCATATTACTTGATTGTTAAAATCCTCCTCTGTTGAAGTTATCTTCTGGTGAGTATACACCCAGAGAGGTCTATCCGCATACTTATTCTTCCTACCTCCTGGTCACCAATCTTCTAATCATGTTCCTTCCAAACCATTGGCCACACCCACAAATCCGTTTAGAATTACATACCTGCTCATTTCTCCTTCCAAGCAGTGAACAACCAGGGAACCGCTTAAATTTCTGCACAGTGGGAGCATTTCTCCTCACTCAACTGAGGTCCTAGAAAGGTGCTGCAGTGCTGCTCTGTGCACTTCACAGGGTGCTTGCAGACTGCACAGGATCATCTACTAACCAGCTCTGAGTTTTCTCTTCCTCAGTTGACTGAACATAAGAAACTCTCCCATGGGCCATAGGTGAAGACTGCGAGAGGGAAGGTAATGAGACAAGAATAAAGATCATGGGCATTTTGGTCACTTCCTTATGCAGCTGATGCCAATCTCATATATACCACTTCCATTTAATGTCCAACTGTATAACTCTGTGGGTCAAGCAACACTCAGTTCATGATGGACAATTCAGGTCATATGGTGACTTAAAGGCCAAGGGTTAGGCATTCAGTTTCTACTAAGGCCCAGTAACACGTCTGAAGTTGTTTCTCCAAAGGAAAGTAATTCTCTGCAGAGGATGGCAGGATTTGGTTCTAAACATCCCAAGGGTTTGTGCTGTGATTCACCAGTAAGGGCCTGCCAAATATTTCAAACAGCACCGTATCTGCTATTGCCACTACAAGTACTATTGGATCAGCTGGTTTATATGACACAAGTTGCAAAGTGGCTTGCACAGCAACCTGACCCTGATGCAGTCTTCTACTGCTTTGGACCCCACTCAAAACTAGCAGCATTTCAAGCCATTTGCTAAATAAGCCTGAGTAGCACACTCAAATGAGGGGTTCAACAAAGGGGTCACCAGGAACTATGCCTGCTTTTCAGTTGTAAAAGAGCCCAGATAATGTATCCTTCACTTTGAACTTCATTGACATGCCTCACACCACTGTACCTGTAAAAACTCCAAGGAGGCAGACAGGCTTGATTTTTGTTTGTTTGTTGGTCAATGTCTCACTTTCTAGCTCACAGATGTCCTACCAATAAGTGTCTAATCATTAATATTTCTTCCTTCGTAGGTCCAGTCAGCATAATGATTTCAATGTACTGCACCAGTGGAATAGCTTGTGTAAAAGAAAACTGATAAAGTTCCTTGGAGACAAAATTGTGAAATAGTGCTGGTAAGTTCCTATACTTTGAGGTAGGACAGTGCAGGTATATTGTTGGCCTTACTGCTTGAAGACGACTGACTAGCTTCCAGTGATCTTTCGAAACCAGAACTAAGAAAAAGGGCATTGGCCTGATCAATAACCACACACCAAGTACCAGGAAATGTGTTCATTTGTCAAACAGTGAGCTACATCTGAAGCAGCAGCTGCAATTGGAGTCAGCACTGTGTTAAGTTTAAAATAATCAACTATCAGTTCCCCAGATCCATAGATGTGTGTTTTTGGGTGGGGGTGGTGGTGGTGGTAGGGAAGGGAAACATAGGCCACATAGGTGAATTAAATGAGGGATGTGGTGGGATCAAGACTTATGCAAGTCGATGTATGTATGATTGTGATGAGTTGTATGAGCCCCTAATAAAATGATTTTTAAAAAAAGACTTATGCAAGTCTTCCAGGAATGAGGTATTGTTAGTGGCTTATTATTTTTCTAGGTAGAGGCAATTCTAATAGCTTTCATTTGGCCCAATAGCTCTTACTCCGTGTCAGGGATCCGGTGTAGGGGCTTTGCCAGTTGCTATAGATGCCTAATCCAAGTATGTCTAGCACAATGGTTCATTCTGGAACTGTGGAAATCACTACACAATGGTCCCACTGAACCCACTAAGACGACTCTTAGCTAAGACTCCATTAATAGCCTGACCTCCATAGCCTGTTCTCACCGGTGAACCACAGTGACACTTTACCTCTCCTAGAATTATCCAGTGTCAATTAAGAGTCACTATCCAGTAATCCTCTAGAATTCTGATGATTTTCTTTTCTCCAATGAGCAGTCACCCATGTAGATTTTGTTGGGGAGGGCTGGGCTAAAGATGAACAGCATGCTTTTTTTTTTGCAGTGCAATGGGAGGTCCCTCCTTACCGGGACCTGGTCTCCTCTTCACTTAAAGGACTGGGAGACTGTAAACTGTCTCAAGTCTGGGAATTGATTGAGCAGCTGTGACACTCTATTGTTCTTATTCAAGCTAGACTGCCATCACTTCATCTAGAATTCTTTTGTTTGAATGGATCAAGTAAATATTTAGGAAATAGATTTTTTCATCTATTTCACTCTTAGGGCTACAACCTTAAATCCATGATTCAGATATTCTGATTATTGTATTTCCTCTGCTATTATGGTAACCAGCCCATCTTTTCTTTATCAATTAAATCCTACCACTTTGGCCACTGTCGTGATGGGTGTCCCTGTAGTTAGATGAACCCCTCTGTAGTTAAATGTCATTTAGGGAAATTCCCATTGCCAAATCTGACTACATAAAATAACAATCACTCCAAGTCTTTAAGGAATTTTGGGCTCCCATCACAAATTTGTTCCTCATTGTTGTGATTTTAAAAAAAAGTGTGCTCTGGGCACTCCACTTATGGGAACAGGGCTGTGAGGGTTAAGCTTTGTGTCAACTCGTTGCACATCTACAAAGGTATGGGTGGAGTTCAACCTCTTAGTCAGGATACAGCATAAAGTCTTTTATGCTTGTGCGGCACCTTTTTATAAGGGATGCTGGGAAGGACTGGCCTTTCTCTTGCTCCTCTTCTCCTTCCTGCTGGCTTGGGTCCTGCATCTGGCTTCCAGGACCGGAAGCTTCTGTGGCCTGTTGACCCTTGGGATTGTCGGCATCCTGCCATGTTCCTGCCAACCTTGATTTCAGGTGCCTGTGCACCCAAATGCCAGCGATAGCCCAGTTTCTTGTTTCATTCGCTGGCAGCTGTGTGAGACTGGAGGGCCTCCAACTGACGTCTGTCCAATAAAATTGAGCTGGCTGACTGAGCAGCTTCCTGGATCTACATTTCTGAGCACCAGTGGTTTTGCTTGTCTATAACATGTAGCCGAACGTAGGGGCTAAGCTGGTAAAGTCACTCTAACATGTTGATTCCCCAAGTCTTTGGATACCATTTGATAGAAAAAAATCCCAGCGCTATTTAACGGATCCCCCCTCAAAGTGACCCTGTCCAGGGTTTCTGGGCTGTAAAACCTTACAGGAGCAGACAGCCTCCACGTTATCCTTTGGAGCAGCTGGTAGCATTGAACGGATAACCGGACAGCAGTCGAGCTTACCGGACAATGCCATCAGGGCTCCACTCTTACCCAAAGTAGAAAGGAAATCTGGTCCTGGATTTAGTGTAGGACACTGCATTCCCATGAGCCAGTGAACCAGCCAAATTAACTATTAGATAATTTCCTAACCTTTTGAGCTAAAAAACAAACAAAACAAAGCATACCACTGAATAAAGAATCTCTGCTTAGTGGATGCATATAAAAAATCTCAGACTGAACCAACTTAAGTTCCTTTCCTCATTGTCCCACTAACGTAATATTCATTTTCACATATACCAATAATTTCTTTTGGAGTGTATTGTACCTCTCTGGGTTATACTTTGTACTTCACCTTTGGGGATTCATTACAAGTTAATTATAGGTCTGGAAGCAAAAATTATCGGCAAATGTGGTTCCCAGGAACATTCAGCAAAGCCTTTAAGTCAGCGGTTGTCAACTTGCGGGTCACAAGCCCTTTGGGGGTCGCCTAAGACCCTGTTTCCGATGGTCTTAGGAACTGAGACACCGCTTCTCTATCCATCTCCAGGCTGGTCCACCCACATGCAGATACGCCCACTTACGGGGTGGCCGCATTAGAAAGCTTGAGAACCACTGCCTCATGTTGTGGCCCAGATAATACCCCATGTCCCAGGTGGGTCCACAGACAAAACGTCATCAGGTGCAACAGGGTGAATCTCACTAGATTGGGGTATGAGGGCTGGTTCTATTGGAAAGAGTGATTCGATGGAGTTTAGGGGCTCAATGTCCCCAGATTTTGATTGCCCATATGACCCCATCTCACATTCCAGGTCCCCATTTTGCTCCAATCACACTCCAACTTCAGACCCCATTCAAGACTGGGAATTCAACTGGCATTGTAATTCAGCCATTCTTATGATAAGATCCAAGCTATGGTTTTCTGCAATATTAGTGCTGAAAGAAAACTTTTTTTCAGGGCACAAGTGGCAGCTTTGAGGTCTTTTATGTAAAACTTGAAATGTGACTTCGAAGCTATGAGTTCAGCTTTCTTTTATCACTTTGTCTAGTGTATGCAGCAGGAACCATCCAGCTTCTTTGTGCTTCTCATTTTGCCAGAATTGCAGAAAAGTATCAAATATGCAATCGTGCAGAACCTCGCTTCTCACAAATACTTACCTATTGGTGATGATACTTTATATATTAATATTGCTACTCCATGCCACGAATTAGTAACACCCTCTTAACAAATGGAGGCAGCGTCATCACCACCTTTCAGACTCATCAGGCTTGAAAACCAATTTAGAAAACTCATTGCTATGATCATTTCTCCCAAACCACTCTGAGTGCCAAATGCCTTAGGCTGGGCTATCCATGGAAGTGACCGGCAAGCCCTATTGTTGCTCTGCTGTGACCAGGAGACCTTGGTCTCAAGAACCAAAGAATGGACTCAGAGCATACAATGACAAGCAGAAAGCACTTTATTTGGAAAAGTAAAGAAAAGCACTGCCATGATACAGCAGGTGGGGGCTTTGCCTAGGGTTTGTTTTGTTCTTTAAATTCAGGTGTGGGGTACTTGGCCCGTATCTTCAGGTTATCAATGGACCAAACCTGGATCTGGTCCTACTTCTCAGGCCGTGATAAACGTGGTCATGCTCTCCCCACGGCTGGGTCTTGCCCAGGCATGCACAAGGAAGCAAGCACGTGATGTTCAGCACAGAGAGCCTTGGGTTTAGAATCAGCCTGGGGGGTCTGATGCCTGTAGGCTAAGATTTAAAATGCCCTAGGCTGTTGAGGTCACCATTCCAGAAGTCCTGCCACTCCCAATGATCCTGGGTGGCCTTTCCCTCCCTCTACCTTCCCGTTCTCTTCCTCCTTTCACTATATCCATAGGTCAGACATCACGTGGGAGGCTTCTCCTGACTTCTGTAGCTGTAGGAATTGATAAACTCAAGACCCGCAGGCCAGATGGCAGGCTGCTGCTGACTCATGGGCTGCCAGAGGCTGATGAATCCCAAGCTGTAAATCTTGAGTAATACAGCAGGCACTGGCTCAAGTCCAAAGAACCAGAGGTCAGATTATGCAGAATCCAGATAGTGCAAAAATCAGAGAAATTTTCCATGTCTATATCTTAGATGGAGGCCACCGCCCCCCCCCAGAAAACCTCCTTTCAACCAATTGGTTGCCTGTAACACATCTCAAGATGGAGATAATTACATTATTTCAGATCTCCTTGTGGGAGATGGCTATGTCATTACATACCTGCCAAACTGTATCGTAAGTGCCAATCCATCAAGAATCATGGCCCAGCCAAGTAAACACACAACCAGAACAGGTCTCAAGTGAACAGGTGTGCCAAAGAGACAAGGCTGAGCTCTCCCGTCAGGTCAGCAGCAGTGCGTAGTAATCACACTGAATCATCCGGACCACTCATGGGCCAGCGACTGGTCCTAACTCAAATCATGCTACTTCTTTTCAAGGAGCTCAAAGAAGGTTCCATCACATTTTTAGGATATACATTAAAACATTGTATTTGTTCATGTGGGCGAAGACACTAAACTATAAGTTAGGGTAGCATGGGGAGTGACGATCAAGAAGAGTGACCACCTGCCCATATATTCAGCAAGGACCCAATATGCTCTAAATGAGGGTATTTTCTGTTAGAAAGAGGTCTCCAGATTCTTTGTCCCAAACCCGCAAAAATTTGTGGAATGAAGCCGGTTGTATAAACTCTTGATTCCACTGGCTACGCCACAATGTGAGTCAACAGGTGTTGTCACTTGTTGTGAACTGCCAAGTCGGTTCTGACTGTGATCGTATTCAGAACAGAATGAAGCCCTTCTGGTCCCGCACCACCCTCACACTCGCTGTGACACTGCAGGACACTGGTGTAATTTAGGAGGTGGAAAAGCACTCTGACAGTGGAATTCCTGATATGGAATGAGCAAAGCCTTCCTCCATGGAATGGTGTCCTAAGAATCCAGAGGATTATCTACATCAGCAGGTCCCGGTGTGGGGTCGACAAGCAGCACCAGGAGCCGATCCTGAGAGCGTATTAGAAATGTACATTGTCAGTCCTGTCTAGACTCACAGCCCAAGAGCGAGCGGGAAGTATTTGGCATGTGCTTCGAGTCCTTCTGACGCAGGTAAAGGACGTCCACACGTAATGCTGCTCCGCAGCCAGTCCAGCCGGTCTGCGGAGCTCTGGTCCCATTCCCGAGCACAGACTACGTCCTGCACCAGGATGGGAGAGGCCTGGGCCCTGGCGGCTGCTGTGGCTGGGTGATGGCTGGCAGAAACACTGGCAGCCCCTAGTCTTTGGCTGTGTTATAATGACCCCTCCCCTGACTAGAAGCCTTAGAACCATCAATCCCCAGGCGTATCCTGGTCTCGCTGGCCAAACCGCAGACGAGGTGAGGATGTTGGCTGGTCTGGAAACACCGTGAAGGACGTCCACTCTGCGCCCGCCGCCCCCCAGCCTGCCTCCAGGGTACTGAACGTATCAAGCTCCAGGTCTCCAACTGTCTGGAGCTTTGATACCTTCAGTAGGACACAGGTTTACCCCAAAGACCTTCTTCACATAATCAGCAATTAGTGTGCACTCCAGGTCTTCATAAGAGAAATGTGATGGAATACTATTTCCATTATTTACCTGGAATACGTATTCAAATGAAAAGAGCGTGACTTGTCTTGGAGAAAACTCGCAACTACACCAAGGCTGTGGAGAACATGACACAGCACTGCGCTTCCTCCTTCACCCCGGAAGCCCCTTCTGCTTGCGGACAGTCCTGGGCAGCACACGGGAGGGCGAAACCAATGTTCTGCTGTTTTATTAGCTGAACCAGGTGTGGGTTACAACTGAAGTCTAGCCACGTGTTGGATACACACGGTGTGCTTGTGGACTTTCCGGCAGCAGAAGTTCTGAACTGCACGGACCTTACTTAGAAAACAAGCAAAAGCCAAGTACAATCGGAGGGCACTGCCAAGTGGACAGCATACACAGTTAAATGACCAAGTCATCCGTTTAAGGCCAAAAGACTTCAATGAAAATAGCATATGAAAAGCGAACATAAATTACATTGAAGGTCTGTACAGGATTGAAAGAAAAAAATAAAAAAGCAATATTGCATTGTGTACAATATTGTTCTAACATTCCAAATTCATGAACCACTTTCCCTTGATTTCCAGAGAAGTGAGCAAATTACACATGCAGTATAATTAAAATAATTTCACAAAAATACAAAATTTTGTAGGTTTTCTCAAAGGCACTTTAAAACACAGACAAAAATAACAGCAGAGGCTTCCACCTCAGAAGCTCCTCTCTCGTTGGATGGGACCCAAGGCAGAAGGGCAGCACCTTGTTCTCACACATCTTCGGTTGGCAAGTGAAAAACATGACTGGCGGCGAGGCAGCAGAGAGAAGATGGGCTTCCTGCATTCGGACGGAACCGAAAGGCCAGTGTGGAGAATCTCCCGATACCAGGCATCATCATGCTTGCCTTTGGCAGACAAGTTCCATAACAGCTATCTGGACAGGACTTTATTTTCTTTCAAAGTAGACCCAGTGCTCAGTGCTGGGCTATGACTGGAATAAACGCAGGAAGCGTCATAAAGGGGTCATGTTGCTTGGCTGCCTGCCTGCCCCACTAGCATTGGCACCACTGGCTATGATAGCCACCCACCAAACATGTGGGTGGCAGCAGCACCTTATATATCAGATGGCAAGAGCAAAGCTGTATCTCACACCATCAAGTCTACAAAGGCCTTGCCAGCAGTTATGAGCTGACACGACCACTGTGTTTTGTACCTTCTTGTGGAGGTGACAGTTCTGACCAAGAGGCTGATCAGGGTCCCTGGGGTATCCCAGGAGGGTTTCTCTCCCAGTCAGAAGCTCTGGGAACCCCTCAGGCTTCCAGCTGGACCTCCACCTCCTCCATCTGTAGGGTGTCATTGTCTCCAAGAAGCTCTGTCTCTGGGACGGAGCCTTCCTCTTCCTCCTCTGCTTCCGGCACAGGATTCTGGGCTATGTCTTCTGCAGTGTTCTGAGCATCCTCGGTGCTCTCGGAGAGCAGGGCTGCTCTGTCAGCCACCGACGTGTTGGAGGGAGCTGTGGTCACATAGCCTGTGCTGGTGGAGCTGCTGCCACTGTGATGAGAACCTGGCTTGGGGATCACCTGTGGGGGTACCTGCTGAGGGGCCATTTGCATTGGGATCTGAACAGGATAGAAGTTGGGCAGGTAGGCTCCATAGGCTGGCATTGGCTGGTACCCATTCACAGGGATGTAGAGCTGGGGTGGGGGCACCATGGGTCTGATCTGGCCCTTCATGGGGATAAACTGGGGTTGTGGGAAGGGCTGAGCCTTCTGCTTGGGCCCTATGTAGCGGGCGTTGCTCACGTTGCTCACAGGGCTGGTGCTAAGGGAGCTTGTCTGTGTAGTGTTGCTGGCGCCTGAGGTCTGTGCCGAGCTGTTGTAGTTGGAGAGGTTCCCCCAGGTTCTGAGCCTGCTGTGAATATCCTTGAACCGGGGCCGCCGGTTGGGGAACTCATTCCAGCACTCGATCATCAGGGCGTACACCCAGGCGGGGCAGTCGTCTGGGCAGGGTAGCAACTGGCGGTTTCGGATCATCTCCACTACATCCTGGTTGGAGTAGCCACAATAGGGCTGCAGGCCGTAGCTGAAGATCTCCCACAAGACTACACCATAGGACCAGATATCCGAGTCAATGGAGAATTTGCCATACATGATGGCCTCTGGGGACATCCAGCGGATGGGCAACAGTGAATTCCCCACCAGCTTATAGTAATCAGCTGAGTAAACTTCCCGGAAGAGGCCCAGGTCTGAGATCTTCACATTCAGCTTATCGAACATGAGGACATTGCGAGTGGCTAGGTCTTTGTGCACCACATGGTGAGTGGACAGGTACTCCATCCCTGCAGCGATCTGGACAACTAAGTGGACAAAGTCAGGGGGCTCTAGGGCAGACTTCACAGTCCGGTCATTGTCAGTGCTGCCCACGTCGGAGTGGGGTGATCGCATGACCAGAAACTCATGTAGGTCACCATGGGAACAGTAGGCGAAGACCATGCTGATGGGCTGATCTTTGGTCACTACTCCCAGTAGGCAGACGATGTTGGGGTGCTGAAGTCTTGACCGCATCAGAGCTTCGTGCTTGAACTCCTCCCGGAGGGGCACTTCTGCTTTGTCCTTGAGGGTTCTGATGGCCACAGCCTGGGTCTGCTCCCCAGGGGTCGAGCCAAAGAAGTGGCCTTTATAGACTTTCCCAAATCGGTCTTCCCCTAGCTCTTCCATGAACCGCACAGTGGACAGGCTGATTTCTTTGAGCTTGGCCTGTCAAGAAGGAAATGTTCTGTGAATAACTTATGTCCCTGAGACAAGCCTTAGAGTGATCCTGTTCTTCCCTACCTCTAACTCCTCTGAGGGCCTTTGCTCTGGCTTTCCCACATCACCCACAAATAAGGTTCAACCTCCAATGGTAATAACAGCAAGATCATGTCTTTTTATGGTTGCTCCAGTATGTACCGTATATACTCGAGTATAAGCCGACCCGAATATCGGCCGAGGCACCTACTTTTACTACAAAAACGGCATTAAAAATGTGTTGAAAAACTCAGCTTATACTTGAGTATATACGGTACCTATCTCTGAGCATTTCTTCAATCAGGATGCTGTCATCTTTAGAGACTCCCAGTCAGTTATTTTACCCCTGCATTCTTGATGGACTTGCTTCACAGTGCCATCCTGATTAACCTCTGATGGGGAATGTTGAAGAATGCGGACAGTCAGTCAGCACAGTCCGTGTGGACCCATGCTAGCAGCACCTGTCCAGTCAGAGAGAGAAGAGTGAGGTTCCCCCAACACTTCTGCCACTGATTTTCTAAGAACCAAAAGTCCTAATGAATTTTAGAGCAAAACAAACAGCAAACGCTGCAGCAAAAGGAAAGACAGTTTACAAAGAATTATGTGTATCTATCAAGGAGTCCATGGCTGGTACAAACAGGTAAGCTGCTAACTTAAAGCTGGGCTATTTGAATCCATATCGAGACACCAAGGAAGGGCTCGGCTCCCCGCTGGAAGAAGAAGGCACTGAAAATCTTATGCACGGCTTCTAGGCCCTGTCAGACACTGACGGCCCACACAAAGAAGGCAGAACATTATCGGAGATGGTGCCAGAGGATGGGCCCCTTGGGTCCAAGACCAATGGAAATGTGAAGGAAGAGGAGCTGATTTCTTGGCCGGGAGTCAGCCACGGCGACGTGAGTCGAGTAAAACTTGTGGGCATGGAGCCTTCGGGACCTTCATTTGCTGATGGGCATGACTCACGGGAAGGAGAAACAACTGCAAAAGTCTGAAAAATGATCAAACTTGGAATGTGTGAAGTGAGGATTTAGGAAAATTGGAAGTGGTCAAAATGAAACGGAACACAAGAAGACTGAAGTCCTAGGCATTATCGAGCTGCAATGGACTGGTATTGGCCATTTTGAATCTGAGCCATAGGATTTACTATGCCGGGAATAATACAATCAAGAGGATTGGTGCTGCATTCATTGCCAGAAAGGCTCTTGTGAAATCAATCCTGAAGTACAATGCCGTCTGTGATAGGATTATATCTATCTGCCTTCAAGGAAATGTAATCAGTACAATTATCATTCAAATTTATGCAACAACCACAAAAGCTGGAGATGAAGTAATTGAAGCATTCTACCAAGTACTCCAGTCTGAAATTGATCAAACATGCAGTCAAGATGCATTGATAATTATTGGTGACTGGAATGCAGAAGTTGGAAACAAATGAGGAAGGAGCAGTAGTTGGAAACTATGGACTTGGTGATAGAAATGAAGCTGGAGATCACATGATATAATTTTGCAATGCTAATGACAACTTTATAGCAAATAACTTTTTGAACCACACAAAAGGTGACACTATACATCAACTTCCCCAGATGGAATACACAGAAATCAAATTGACTACATTTGTGGGAAGGCACAATGGAGAAGCTCAATATCAGCAGCTAAAACCAGACCAGGGTCCGACTGCGGAACAGGTCATCAATTGCTCATTTGTAAGCTGAGGATGAAGCTGAAAAAATGGAAACAGATTCATGAAAGCCTAAATAAAACTTAGAGTCTATCCCGCCTGAATTTTAAGAACATCTCAGGAGCAGATTTGTTGCACTGAACACTAATGACAGGAAACCTGATGAGCTGTGGGAGGACATCAAGACCATCATTCATTCATTAAAAAAAAAAAGGCAGGAAAGAAAGAAGAGATCAAAGTGGATGTCAGAAGAGACTTTGAAACTTGCTCTTAATAGTCGAGTAGCTAAAGCAAATGGAAGAAAGGATGAAGTCAAAGAGCTTAATGGAAAATGTCAAAGGGCATCTTGAGATGACAAAGCCAAGTGTCATAATGAAATATATAAAGACCTAGAATTAGAAAACTAGAAGGGAAGCATATGCTCAGCATACCTGAAACTGAAAGAACTCAAGATAAATTCCAAGACTTGACTTGTAATCTTGAAAAATTCTACGGGCAAAATACTGAACGAAGCAGGAAGCATTAAGGAAAGATGGGGAGAATACATAGAGTTACTGTACCAAAAATAATTAATTGGCCTTCCACTATTTCAGGAGGTAACACGATCAAGAATCAATGGTGTAGAAGGAAGAAGTTCAAATTGCACTAAAAGCATTAACCAAAAACAACTTTCCAGGATTTGATGGCATGTACCAGTTGAAATGTTTCAGCAAGTTGGCACACTGGAAACACTCGTCTACACCAGGAAATTTGGAAGCCAGCTACTTGGCCAATTGATTGGAAGAGATCCATATTTGTGCCCATTCCAAAGAAAGATGACCCAACAGAATGCTCAAACTATAGAACAAAATCAGTGATATTGCATGAACATAAAATTTTGCTTAAGATTATCCAACAACAGTTTCAGCAAAGGAGGGGAGGACGCTCAATGAGATACACTGACCCAGTGGTTGCACTCAATGGGCTCAGGCACAGGAACAATTGTGAAGATGGCACAGGACTGGGCAGTGTTTTGTTCCGTTGTGCACAGGGTTACTATGGCTCGGAGCAGATTCGATGGCCCCTAACAAAAGCATAGGGTCATTAATGGTCAGACGGACTAGGATGGCACCGAACAACAGAGGTGCCCTGGAAGAAAGCCAAACAATATACCTCCAAAGGTCACAGCCATGAAAACTTTATCTCAGCTACCTAGAGCTGTCATAGCAGAAATACCACAAGTAGACGGCTTTAACAAACAGCACTTTATTCCCTCATACATTAGGAGTCTGAATTCAGGGCACTTACTCTTGGGGAAGGCATTCTATTTTTGGTGGCTCAAGAAGGAAGGTCTTTGGCTCCTTTCAGAATTTTGGGGACATCTCCATGTGCCTTGGCATCATATTCCCCTGAATCTAGAAGGTTGCCAGCACAGGGACCCCAGGCCCAAAGGACATGTTCCTATCCCATCTCTCCCTTCTTGGTGGTACTAGGACTCCCCCTTACGCCTACCTTCTCTGCTGATATTCTCTCCTTTGTTTTGTAATAAAATAAAAGACGATAGAGGTCCCTCCCTGGAAACATTCTGTGACAGTATTAAGAGTGTTGTAACCTGACCTAATCCCCCTACAACAGATTGGCTTAACACATCATAGCACGATCATTACATAATTGCCAAACCACTGAGGATCATGATCCAGCCAAGTTGACACATTGGACGGACACACACACACACACACACACACACACCCCTACCTCAATCCATGCTACATATTCTGGTTGGGACCCATAGTTTCTGGAGCATGGAGGTTGGATGAATGAACCCCATTCCCTGAGATAACGGTTAAATCTTAAAATAATATCCCTGAAGTTTTCTTAACACCAAACAAAAGTTTGCCTTAAATAGTTAAGAATGTCTGCCTTGAGCACTATGCTCTTTCAAGATGCATTTACATGAAATCAAATTTACGACAGAAATTGGAAGGATTAGATAGGAATCTTTGGGGCCAGTGAGTCTATGTTGCTTGTGAGAAATACTTTAGAAAAGGCGAGTTCGAATGGTTGCATCATTTCCAGAATGTAACCAGTGTCATGGACTTGTACTTGTCGAAAAGAATCTGCTGAATTGGTGTGTATTTTGTTATGCACATTCTATACAGTAACAAGTGAAATAAACTATGTTTTAAAAATCCCCAAACCCTATGGAGAGTTCTACTTTCATTACATGGGTCTGCATGAGTTAAGTCAACTGAACAGTTACTGCCCCTTTGCTTATTCGACAGCAAACAGTGAGCAACCATCAGACTAAGTCAAACATGGAAGACTATGCTCTGAAATATATAGACATGAGACCTGTTTGTGCTGGTTAATGAGAGGCATCTCCATGTCTTGGCTGGGTGATGCCATCAACTGCCTTCGCTGTGGTGTGGACGCCGAAGCCTTCTGCTTGTTCCGGCACATGCAGACCAAGAAGAAAAGGCAAGCAATAACCAAAGGTATTGCAATGCTTGGAACCAAGATGTAGAGAATTCCCATTTTGCTGCTGTCTCGGGGACCTGTGAACAATAAGGGTTTCATGATTTTTTTCAGAAAAGTCTTCTTTGCAACTCTAAGTCTTACACCAGCCCAATTCTCACCTCAGGCTAAAATATTTAAATGCAAGTGGGAAAATTGTAAGATGACCTTTAAAAACAACCCCCCCCCAAATATACCTACAAAACCCCACCTTGTTGTACACTTTGGAAACACAACGCTGAACTTCCCACTATGAAAACCGAATATGTGGCATTAAAACAACTGAGCTTTAAAGGTTATTACTATTGAGTATTAACAATAACCCCACTTACTTTTCTCATCTAATGCTTGAAGGCCATCGGAAATGGGTGTTCTGGTCTACCTCACGTTTACTAAACTCTCCCTGGCTGCTGACAAGCTGATGAAACAAGCTGATACCCGTATGCAGTGAATGCAGCTCGTTATTTTCAAATTTTACATCATGAGAGTATATCCTTTTATGATAGTAATTAAAAACTTATTAGACTCAAAAGAGTCAATTTGTCTGTATTCCTACTAGATTATTCAACCTGAGCACAGAATAAATTCTCTCAGCAACAATATAAGGAAGTACAAGCGAAGGTTTCCAGGTCTTCCAGTTTCCAGTGGACAGCAACACTTCAAGCCATACTTTGGCGCCCTCTACAGGATTGGCTGAACGTCACAGAGGGGTCTATGGTGCGTCCTGTTGAAGAACCTCGGTTCCATGTTGGACAGCGGGGATAGTAGGCCTCCTTTAACTTTCAAGGGCAGCCACATATATCAAAGGAATGACGTTTAGCGAGCAGATGGTTTGATTTGAAGAGTGTAGGTGGGGAAAGATCTAAAGGGCCACGTCTCCACATCTCTAGGGAACCACAGGATCTCTGATTACAGGTTTCTCCTCAACCTCTGTAATTACGACAGACGCCAACACAGCTGTGACCAGTGAAGAACAAACTCGACAACGGAAAGTTCCTGAGTGATCTTTGTCTAGGTGTTCATGAGCTAAACGAAACTTTGAGTTGCATCATGTCTAAAAAGGAACACACCATTGTCACCTTAGTGTTTTTTTTAAAGCACACTGTTCCAAACAGAACCTTGAACCTGTGTCTCATAAAATAAAATAAAGGCAGAGCAAAGCAAAGCTTTCCTAGCCCCGCCAAGCAGATTCCACAGTTGATGAGCACTGTATAATCATGAGGATGAGCATTTATACTCTAGAGTTTAAATTGCTTAATTTATACTCTAGAGTATAAATTGCTTAGAAGGGAAATACTCCTAACTCCTTTTCACCAAAGGCCATTTTGGTGCTCACCTGTTTATTTTAGGTTACACTACATATTTTAGCTTAAAATAACTAATATTCTTTTTTTGGACACAATAGAAGCAGTAGTGGAGGCCTTTGGTGGCACAATGGTTAAATCTCTTGGCTGCTAACCAAAGGGTCAGTGGGTTTGAGCCCACCAGGGGCTATGCTGGAGAAAGATATGACTGGGTGCTTCTGTAAAGATGACAGCCTTAGAAGCGGTGGAGCAGCTCTGTGCTGGCTACAGGCAGGCGGCGATAAGCCAACAGCAAAGATAAGACAACGCTCCATGGCAGACTTTGAAAGCGTTTCCACGACTGCATAATAGTCCAAGCTCTGCATGCACACCAAGGTTCTGTCCAACAGTCTGATGTTCAACAGTTTGCTTCATATTTAGCTATGGCAAAACATTTTGCAATGAATATGCCTGCATCTCTTCTTACAGGGGCAAGTCATTTTGCAGTATAAGATTCTTGGAACTGTCCATGTACATATGCATTTTCTCTTTCTGTACTATCTTTAATTACAAAAGTAATACCTGCTCATTTTGGATTTAAACATCTTGAAGGTCAAACCATTGCTAAATGTTTGGTGTATGTGTTTCCCAAAATCCACAAATCATAGGTATTTCTGAGTATTCAATACACACTTATACATACCTTTCATTTTTCTTTTGCAAAAAACCCCTCAACAAACAAGCAAACAAACAAACCCAGACTTAACCTAGCTATTGTTCTACAACTTGCATTCGTTGCTTAAAGGACATCCTGCGAAGCCTCCCTTACAAGTCTCATTGTTTTAAAACTTTTGCAGTACAGTGAACCCTCGTTTATCGCGGTTAATCGGTTCTAGATCCTACCGTGATAAATGAAATTCCGCGAAGTAGGATTCCTTATTTGTAAATCAAATATTTTCATAGTTAGAGCATAGAGGACATGAAAAAACACCCTTTAGTCACCATTACACTCGTATTACCCAATTTATTAAACGAAAAAGGGAAAATACAGTAAAACATTTTGGACGTTACAATTATCATTTATTATTTATTATATTATTTATGGCATCAAGCGTGTACAGTATGAGCCAATCAGTGGCAGTAATGACAGAGCATGCGCTGTTACGCAAAAACCGCGATAGAGTGAAGCCGCGGAAGTCGAAGCGCGAAGTGGAGAGGGCTCACTGTATTCCATAAAGTAGACAAACTATTATATAGGGGAGATTCAAAAGAATCAAGGAAAAACAGAATGAAAATGGATTTTTCCATGTGTTTTTTGAAGTCCCTCATCTAATTACTGACAACTTTATGCTTAAAATTTATCCAGTAAGTTGTATAAAATATGCAATAAAGATATTCTTGAAGAATTGTCTGTGAACAGCTGAGTCAAAAGATTGGCAGGTTTGGAACTGCCAAACTATGCTTCAATGAGGTAACGGATATACTTTTTTCTTGCCAAGAATGAGAGGGTAGCGGTAGGCCTTTGAGTTTAACACTGCTGGAATGAGGTTCCCTGGTGACTGGTGAGTCTCGTGCTTTACTAACGCACGTCTCTGGACTCCATGTCTTTTGGAAATTTCCTACAAACCCACTGCCTCCTGGTTCCAAAACACAACACATAGAAGCCATGTCTCCGCTATCCAGATCAATTGGAGCTGGTGAAACATAAGTGAGTGAAATAAAGAGATAATTTATTTACATATGCTCTTCTCCTATTGATGATATAAACAGAGACACTGAAAGGGAGCATTGTTAAAGAAGTCTGAATTCTATTTTCTCTAGACCCCATCAGGTCTATGAGTTAAGACCAAGAAGTAGCAGAAAATTCAAATGCTTCGGGATGGCATGCAGAGAGCAGCAAGTGCTTTTTGCTCCCAACCAATCCCTGGGTGGTACAACAGGCGAATGCACTTGGCTGCTAAAACAAACACTGGGGGTCTGAGGTCTGCTGACCTAGAGGTAACTCAGAAGAAAGATCTGGTGACCTACTGCCAGAATATCAGACATTGAAAACCCTGTGGAGCCCAGTTCTACTCTGGCACACACGCGGCAGAGTTAACACGATGGCAAGGGTTTGCTGTTATTTTGTTAATAATAGGTGCAAAGCTAAGGAGCTGATTGAAACGAGAAGTATTTTTACTAGTACTGCGAAATATCTACGTTATAACATTAATGAATAACAGCAACTGTGAAGACGGTGCTGAGCCAGGTGGTCTGTCCTTCCATTGTACATAAGTTGACCAGAGTGCCCCAAATAAAACAGGGGTGACACTGGAGGGTGAGTTTAGGAGTCATTTGTACACTAGTCTTTAGGCTCTTCTGTAGTTTCCAATGTGCTCTGTGTGGGGAGAGGAGCCTGGGGGGGTGTAGCCGTTACACATTGGGCTGCTAGCCACAAGGTCAGCGGTCTAAAATGACCAGCTTCTCCATGGGGGAATGATGGGGCTTTCTACTCTGCTGAAGTCAGAGTTCACAGTCTTGGAAACTCACAGGGACTGTGCTATTCTGACTTCGACGGTTGCTATGAGCCAGTATTGACTCGATGGCAGTGAGGTTTTTTGGGTTGTTTGTTATATGGCCACCTATTACTTTTGTAACAGGTAGTACATGGCAACAGCTTCATGAGACACATTGATCATTTTTGGGATACGATGGGGTATAACCATCCCCATCCCACCAGGGTGCATCAACAGCCAGCACGTAGAAGAAGAAGAAAAAAGAGGATACTTACTACACGAGGGAACATCACACAGTTCCATGCGCACGTTTTTATTCTGGGTAAAACACCATGGGCCTTCCATCTGGCCCCCTGGGTTCCGGCAGTAGGCGTGGCCCCCTTTGAGTTCAGGAAATTCGGAGCTGGATAAGTGGTGGCTGTGGGGGTGCTGCAGGACCCATGCCTGGCACTGGTGACCCGACCTGGTGGTGCTGGCGGTCCCTCTGTAGTCTGTGCCTGAGCCGTTGTAACACTGGTGGTCTAAGAGGGGAAGATGTGTTAGAAGGCCTGAAATGCAAAGGGTAGGGCTGGGGGGTGCAGGGGGAGACTCTTTCTGCGGGTAGTCAAGCCTTCTTCCACTATTTCATAAACAACAAAACCACTTTGCCCGGATACACCCAGAACCCAACCCGAGTTTCCCAAAGGTCGCAGGATTGTACATAACGTCCAGGAAAAACTGGATTAAATGCCCTGATTTAATAAAGTCCCAAACCCACAAATTACACTGAGGGTGCATCAGGGACATGAACAATGTCAGTACAATTATCCTGATGTAACCTCAAGTGAATCTGGGGTCCCACGAAGTGACTGATGACTCACAAAGACAAGCACGGGGGAACGCTGGTGGAACCCTAAGACGCCATGAGCCCAACCCTACAGCTCTTCCTTCAGTGATGTGCGATGAGATCTTCCCATTAGAAAAAGAAGTTCTCTGCAGAACAAGGGGCGATGAGCACGGGGGCCATTCCTGGGTAGGGCAAAGGGTCACATCGCAGAGAGGCTGGGGGTCCCAGCGAGCGCCTTGATAAAAAGGCCTGGCCCTCTACTGTACTTCCCAAACGTCAGTCACGGAAAGCCTACTCCCACGGAGCTGGAATCCCCGCACTGGCAACCGATTTTCTCTACGGGACCCTGGGCTGTGGTGCTTCAGCTGGACCTACATCCGGCTTCAACAGGGAGGATGGAGCCTGAGTTCTAACAAGGAAAACAACAGGCACTTCACACATAGGCCGTTTGGCTGCAGAAGTCGGGGCAGGATGTTCCTGCTTGGCCCATGGGGGTGCGCGCCCGCGCAGCACTCACAGCGGCCCAGCCTTTCCGCAGGGATGCCGATGCGCATGCAGTTGGAGGCGTCTGGGCTCTCAGGCAGGGGGAGCGCCTCACACTTGGGCAGCTGCAGCTGCATGAGGATGAGCGGGTTGGAACGGGCGATCGTGTACTCCTGGCGGCACAGGTCGCTCTCCAGCACCTCGCATTCGTCGCGGCACAGCTCCCGGGGCTTGGGCACCCGGGACCTCTCATCGCACAGCGGGAACACAAAGTGGCAGAAGGATGGGATGGCGAACTGCGAGCACTGGTCCGACAGGTGTGTGGAGGTGCCAATCATGGTGAACGCAGCTGCGGAGACAGGTGAGACCCAGGGAGTATTAGAGCCCATGCCCTGCACTCTGCACCCCTCACCCCACCCTTGAGGCCCGTCCAGGAGAGGCTCCCTTGGGGTCTATATGGCTCCAGGAAAGCTTGCACTAGACATGGAAGGTCGTTGTCACGGCTTGAAACAGGTACAAGAAGCTGGAAAACCAAGCTCAAGATGAGTCTTCCATGACAGGAATATGCACATTTCTGAGACATAAACCTTTTCCTATGGACTGATTCCAAGTGGGGGATTTGGCAAGCACGCGAAAAGTATTGGAAGACTCGGGTTGAGGCCCTGGGCGGGGGTCTTTCCAACACTCCTTCATCTGCAAGCAGAAGGCACAGAGCACACTGAGGCTTAGGAGGCAGGGGGTGGGCAGTAGGCATCGAGTGAGCAAGGGAGAGAGTGTGTGCAGAGAGTCACACTATCGGGTCTGGGAAACACACCGGAAAGTGGAGTGAAATAACAATGGAGCGTGTGGTAAGATGAAAATGTTTCGGGGGGCCCGAGCCATGTGGGGTGTATTCAAAGGAGCACGAGACAAGCACGATGCAGGCCGTGCCTGGGAAACCAGGAGTTCTGTGCTAGGGGAGAGACACCAGCACTCTCTGCGGAAGTAGCTGAAGTCTGAGTCTACGTTGGTGGTTAAAACAAAAGTTGTGTTTTTTAACAGGGATTTTCATGAGAGAGATACAGGATGCATTGGTTGGGGTGGGAGAGAACCACGCATGTGAAAAACTTGGGGATGCAGAAGAAAGGACGGCAAGCTCAGGGTCTGTGAAGCTGAGGGGAGGCAGGGCTCTGTACTGGATGTCGGAGGGCCCAAGGCTTGTGTGCCCTCCTTTCCCTCCAAGACACTCCCTAGTTAGGGGCCAAAGAAAACCACTTGCCCATCCTGACCACCCCCTGTGGGTTCCGTCTCACAGCCTTCTGTCTTGCTTCACTAAAAGAATAGACTTGTTTATAATGGCTTAGAGAGCTAAAAGTGAGGCCCTTTTGCTTATTCACTCTGCTGAGGGTATGCTTTTTGACAGGGGAAGGAATGAAGATTGTATATAATTCTCATGACCCTGGAATTCAGTCCTGGAGGTGCTCCAGCACCGCCCATGACTTGTAGGTGCCATACCTAGCATGACCAGCAGGTGGCACTGCTACTGTTCATTCCAATGGGAAACCCACAGGCACTCACCCACAAATTAAGATGGGTAAGCACTGTTTAAATAAGTTAGTACTAGAGCCTAGTTTTTGAGAGGTCTGATTCCCTACACATTAGGGAATGAAAGTCTGTACCCCGCCCCCCCCCAAAAAAACCCCAAAAACAAACAAAAACCACAACCAAATCCTCTGCTTCTGAGTTGACTGGAATAGAACTGCCCCATCTTGTAAGTCTTTAGGGAAGCAGACTGCTTCCTTTTTGTCCCGCAGAGCAGCTGGTGGGTTCAAAGTGGTCACCGCTCCTTTAGTAGTTCTATGCTTAACCCATTGTGCCACCAGACCTCCTTGACAATCTGTACAGAGTGTGTAAAATTGTCTGTTGTTTGAATGCAAACATGAGCTGGGCTGGCTGAGCCATGGTTCTGGCTTGTAGGCAATGGGTTGATTCAACGAGTGGAAAGCAGATGGCCTTGCCTGGAGATGAGATTCTGGCAGCCAGCAATACTGAGAAACAAAGAGGTTATGGTACAGGGTCTCAGAGTTAATGAAACAATTGACCTGCACACATAGCTCAATCCCGTCATTTCAGATTGGCTGGATATGAAGAGGGTTAGTACACGGAGGCAGAGAAAGGTTATTTAAGAAGGTCCAACCTGCAATTCCTCTTGGACCATCAACTGATAGGACGCCACAAGTGACCTTTTACGAGTTTCTCCTCCTGCTCCTCAAAAGGCATTACCTTAAGCTTCCTGAGTAGTGCAAACGCTTAACGGGAGGTTCAAGTCCACAGAGAAGTGCTTCATGAGAAAGGCCTGGCAAACTCTTTCCCCCCAAATCGGCCATTGAAAACCTCCAGGTGCACAGTCCCACTCTGGCGCCCATGAGAGTGGGCTCCCTGGCACCTCCTTCCTGCTCCTGAAAGGGCAGGTCTAGGTACGGAGGGATCCAAGAACTCATTTCCTTCATCTCCCGAACACTTCATGAGGGGTTCTGTGGCCTGCCCACGGGAAAGCTGATAGAGCCCCAGGACTCCTGTGATGCACAGTGTGGATGAGCAAGAGGCGCTCTCTTCTCCAACGAGGACATCTTTCTCCACAACTGGATCAGTCTTCCCCAGTTTGAAGCACAAGTCAGTCACTCTGGCCTACTTCCAAGTATGGACTTTTTTCCAAAAGCCATACATTCAGAGAATTTTCATTCTAATCTTTCATTTCAAAACTGGTATGAAACCCAGCAGCTTGGATATGTGAGTTGTGTGGTTTTTTAAAAAACTCCTGAAAAATAACAGGGATGATCTTGCGCCTGCAAATCACGAGGATGTACAAGTCACTGAGCAGGCTGTGACCAGCATGAAAACCGATGCAGAATAGAAAGGGCTGGAGTGCCTGGTTCCTATTAAGGGACTGCAACCAATTTTTCCTTCAATGAAACACAACTGAAGAGGAAACAACGATGATGACAATCACAGTGCTTTTATTAAAGGTGAAAGTTGCCTCATTTCTTTGAACATATGTAATGTGCAGATTCACTCACTCATGATATGGAAGCATACGTCTTTACAACATGCTGTCGTCAAAATTTTTGAGAAATTTTACTTCAAATGGCATACAAAGCTTCCCCAGGGAGAGAGAGCTGCTACATTTCCAAAACCTTTTCCCACAGGACTGACATGGCACCTTTCAGGTTCCCCGTTGCTCTCTCCTTTCGCCCCGAGACCTCAGGAGGGCCCGGTTTTAGCATTCTCCAGATACGTCGCTTTGTGACACTGACCTTAGACCCTACTCTGAGGATAAAGGCAGGGTCACACAGGGGTTGCCTTGAATTTAGATGTCCAAAGAGTGGATTTCTAACTTTAATCCTCATTTTTACCCATAAATGCCCAATGTAGCCCCTTATACCTCTCTCAGAATCTCTGGGGGCACTCCAGCATCAGAATTATTTTCAAGGTCATCAGGTGATTTAAACACATATCCATTGATAATATATTGGTCATCAATCATACAGATTTCTGTCAATGTATACACACACACACACACAAATACAGACATTTAGGTCTAAGAGTAAAAAAAATATATTGCCATTAGAGTTCCAGTCCAAATATACTTGACTTTATTCCACACTTTAAATATGTGTCTGTCATCAGTGGATGGCTGCAGACGAGTCCTCTCAGTCATACAGTTGTCTTTAATTTCTCTAGAGCAGCGGTTCTCAGCCTGTGGGTCATGACCCCTTTGGGGGTCAAACGACCCTTTCACAGGGGTTGCATGTCTCATAACAGTAGCAAAATTACAGTTATGAAGTAGCAATGAAAATAATTATATGGTTGGGGGGGCTCACCACAACATGAGGAACTGTATTAAAGGGTCGCGGCATTAGAAGGTTGAGAACCACTGTTCTAGAGTGCCTTTAAAAAAGGCCCAGTCAAAACTGGCTTCTTTAGGTCCATTTAGTTCAAGGCAGAGAGGTCCGCTCAGGGGGTGATGCAGACTGTTTACTGGGATTCCCAAGCAGCAATCTTGAACGGTATTCTCAAAGGTCACAGGGAGATCGGGGTAGATTATTAGGAAGAAGTTTGTAAGAAATGGAAAATTGCACTGGCAAGAAAAAAGGCTTGGAAAGTTTTCCTGAGAAGCCCAAGGATATTTAAAACAACAAACAAACAAACAAGCAAAACCAAGAGAAGGCTCAGAGCCTTTACACGAGTGAGGAGATGCAGAGCCAACGTGAAGTAAATCTCTATAAAGGTGGTGGCCATGGTTGGCATCAGGCAGCTGTCCTAAGGTAGGGGCCTGGACACATCTGTGAGGACAGCATAATGCTTAGGATCCACAGTTTGGTCCACTTAAAGAGCGTGTTGAAATACATTTGCATTCTTTTGTGTCATTTAAACATGCAATCTGAGAATATTTTAGAGCAGTCTATGTTAGAACTGCAATTACCTCAGATTCTCTACTTTACAAGAAACAAAGAAAAGAGATACACTGCCCAAGCTTGTATGATGAGCGGTAAAGTCTGATAAAACCCACATGTTGAGTCAGAAAGGCAGCTCCCTCCCACACTCCAGTAGGTGGGCGGGGCCCACACTTGGCGTTTCACAGCTCCTACCTGTGATCCGGTTCTCGATCTCCCCTTGCATTTGGAGGGAGTCCACATAAATGGTTTGGTTCCCAATGAAGCGCGCACAGGCAATGCCCCGGTACGGCTGGCAGAATCCATCCTCATGATAGTCGTCCCTAGGGAAAACACACAGACAACACCGTGAAGGACATTGGCCAGTGTTTCAATGTCCCTGATCTTATTTCCTTTCTAACCTTTTCAAACGGAATTATTTTCCCCTTGGATTTGTACTTTCTTTCAGTAATTGAAGGCAATTTGAATAAAATGGGAAAAAAATTTTGAGGCAGAATTTTTTTTAGAGGCAATAGTTGTTGTTAGGTGTCTTCAAGTCTGTTCCAACTCATCGCAACACCGTGTGCAACAGAAGGAAACCCTGCCCTCTCTGTGCCACCCTCACAGTTGTTAGGGTGGGGTCCACTGGTGCAGCCACCGGGTCACTTCACCTTGTTGAAAGTCTTCCCCCTTCACTGCCTCTCTACTTTACTTTCTCCAGGGCAACTGATCTCTCCTGACAACATATCCAAACCATGTGAGATGAAGACGACATCCCTGCCTGTGAGGAGCCTTCTGGCTGTACTTCTTCCAAGACAGACTTGCTTGTTCTTCCGGCAGCATGTGGTACTTCCAACGGTCTTTTCCAGTAGCACAATTTAAATGCATGAATTCTTCTTTGGTCTTTTTTATACAAGGTCCAACTTTCACATGCCTATGAGGTGACTGGAAGTGCCATGGCTTGGGTAAGGAATGCTTTAGTGCTCAAAGTGACATCCTTGCTTGTCAACACTTTAAAGAGGTCTTGTGCAGCAGATTTATCCAATGCAGTGCTTCATTTGATCTCTTAACTGCTGCTTCCATGAACATTTATTATGGATCCAAGCAAGGCGAAATCCTTGACAACTTCAATCTTTTCTCTGTATATCATGTTACCTACTGGTCCAGGCCAGCCAGGTGCACAGCAGAGGCTTCCACCCTACCTCAGCACTCCATGCAGACCTGCCAGCCAGCACCCCCAGCCCCCGAGGTTCTCTGGCACTCCTCACAGACCCACCAGCCAGCCCTCCCCCAGCCCTCAGACAGAGGTTCCAGCCTCTATGCTCTGGGCCTGCCAGGCGTCCGGCACAAGTCTGGAAGAAACTTCTGCAGCTGCAGCTAAGGGACCCAAGCCTGAAAGGCACTCCCACTGCACTTTCCCTTCTGCATTCTCCCTCCATAATCCCCTCCCCCCCCTCTGTGCTCTGAGCTGTGGATCTGCACACTAACAGAAGTAGCAGGGCCTCCTTCCCACCTGCCTGCCTGTCAGCAGTGTCCCTAGCTAGGAACAGGCCGCCCAATTCCCACCCATCCTGAACTACACACCCCTGTGTCTGGGTCAACACTTTCCATCAGACTGCAGCAAGCACAGCTGCAAACAGCCCCTACGGAGGCCTGAGGGTGGCTGAAGCACAAGGCATAGACTAAGGTGAGAGGGAAACCCCAGCGGGACAAAAGTGAAACACAACCCTTCCAGGCAGTTGGTTAGAGGCAGGCAGCAGAAGCACCAACACCAGCCTTCCAAAGAGAGAGCCCAGGGCTCTGTGACACTGGAGAAAATGGCACCTAGTTCCAATAAATCGACAAAAAAACAGCAAGCTGCTTCCACAGCTTCAACAAGAGAAACAAAATCCAATGCCAGAGGATGACCTGGACCTAACGACAGTAATAGAAAAGGCAGACACTGACTCCCACAGAAAGAAATCTTCACAATGCTGCTTCGAGTTAGACAGGACATGAAGGAAGCATTACAGAAAAAGGATGAAATGAAGAGATAAAGGCCATGCCCCAAAGGGAAATACAAGAGTGAAGGGAGAAATAATAAAAGCTAATAGCAAACTCACGGACTTTGCCCAGCAAATGGAGGAGGCAGAGAACCGCACCACTGACCTACAGGACTCCCAAGCAGAAATTAATAAATGTGAGAAAAAGTCTAACAAGTCCATCAGAGAAGCTGAAGAAAACCTTAGAGGTATGTGTGATGCTATGAGAAGGAACATCAGCATAATTGGATTACCAGAGGAAAACACATCAAGGAAATCAACATCAAAAATAGCGATGGAATTATTGGAGGAAAACATCCCTGGCTTAATGAATGAAAACCAGGCAACCAACCAGGAGGCTGAAAGAACACCAGCCAGACTGAATTCCAACAAGTCACCAAGACATATAATTATTAAACTATCTAACTTTGAGGAAAAGGAGAAAATCATGAGAGCAGCTAGGGAAAAACAAGCAGTCAATATAAAGGCAAGCAGATAAGAATATGCTCAGACCTATCAGAGGACAATATGAAGAAGAGGAGAGAGTGGAGCAACTTACTGTATATACTCGAGTATTAGCCAACCTGAGTATCAGCCGAGGCACCTAATTTTACCACAAATACTGCATTGAAAATGTACGGTATTCCAAAAATTGCAGGAAAATAATGCAAACCCAAGAATACTATATCCAGCCAAATTACCTATCAAGGTTGGTGGAGAAGTGGGAGGTTTTCTGGATAAGGAAAAACTCAAAAGAACACGCTAAAAGAAACCCAGCACTACAAAAGATCCTTGCCAGCCCTGTATGGGCATAAGAACACCACCAAGCATAAATAAGACTCTGCCACACAGAAAAACACCACTCAGAGTCCATCAAAGAGTAAACAGCCTCCAAGATAACATTGGCTCAACAAGGGAAAGAATGAACCACAAACACACATGCACAACCCATAGAAAAGAAATGGAGGTAGGAAAACACCCTACACAGGAGGTATAAAATGACATCACAGAGTCCACAGATAGATGTATTAATCCTGAATATCAATGGAATGAACTCAGGCCTTAAGAGACAGAGGCTAACAGAATGGCTTAGAAAATACAACCCCTCGATCTGCTGCCTACAGGAGAC